GTGATTTGGGCTTGAGTTATCTCCCTTGCAATTTATATCTGTGATTTATGTCAGAGTTATCTCCCTTATTCATTGAACCTCTGGCTGTAAATATTGTACATTTTATCATACATTGTATCTTAACCATATGTAAGATGAGCTTCATGCTCAAAATGTTATCAAGAATAAATAAAGCCTTTATTACTATTATTATATTGGTTACAGTAATCTACTTTAAAACAATTTACTTATCAAATTCATCACCATAGTGAAGTTTTAATTACATGTTATAATGGAGATTTTTTTTAGATATATGTTACAGGTTTTTCAGTTAGGAACTCTTTATGGAAAGGAGATCCATGTCATATTTAGGTAACATACCTTCTTAAATGGATGCATTGAATTATCAGAGTTTGTAAACAACATGAAGAAGTCGACATATTGATCCCAGCTGTATTAATTAACTGCTGTGGTTGTCATTATCAGGTCTTTACTGCCTCAGTAGACAATGGCTTTGTGTGGAAAGTGGGGGGCACCTGCTCAGACCTAAGTCCAGTATTATTGGTCAACTGACCAGTCTGGCACCTGTAAATTAAGTAAATGACCACTGCCAGACTTCTTGCATGGCAACAGTGTTTTGTCAGTGGACTGCAGGCTTTAAGTGAAACACTGTGTTGGAGATAAACAGTGGTCACCAGTATAAAACCTAAACACCCCCTGGACAATGTCCAGACAAAGGGGGCCTTATTGATAGTTTTGTTGTATGTAGTGAAAGGTGGTAAATTACACCAGGAGTCAGAGGTGTGAGCCTGGCTAGGGACAATGGTGACTGGGAATAGTGGGGGTGTGGGTATTGACCAGTAGTTATGTAGTATTACTCTAGGAGAATGTTTATCACATCTCACATGGTTTACCAGAATTTCAAACCAATGTGATTGAGGAAGCTGTTTGAAATAACATAATTTTTCTCTGCTTTTTCATTTCAGTCTTCAATATTACTTAAGTTCACAAGTAATTTTGAAAAACGTTATACAAATCTTACATCATCTGATTTTCCTTTGCAAAGTTAAGAGGCAGAAAATCATTCTGATATGTAACAAATTCTTGTTAAATTGTGGACTTCGGTGTAATTGCCTTTAGCAAAAAAGAAATTAACACCAATATATTGTAAATGCTCTCAATAATAAAACTTTGATTTATAAGTAGATTTGTCTGGCTTAGTTAGGCACATGGAATTTCTTGTCTGGCAATGCAAGAAAAATATCCAAGATATATCATCTGATTTTCCTTTGCAAAGTTAAGAGGCAGAAAATCATTTTGATATGTAACAAATTCTTGTTAAATTGTGGACTTCGGTGTAATTGCCTTTAGCAAAAAAGAAATTTTCAGCACAAAAAAAATCTTATTTAAACACCAATATATTGTAAATGCTCTCAATAATAAAATTTTGATTTATAAGTAGATTTGTCTGGCTTAGGCACATGGAATTTCTTGTCTGGCAATGCAAGAAAAATATCCAAGATATATTGAATCTTAATCGTAATACATTCATCCATGCTAGCCGCTGAAGGTCGATACATTTTACTGTTATTGCTTCTGAGACACTTCAGTTTTTTTTAGGCTATGCAATTTCCATAAACTATAAAATACCAGTAAAATCTTCTGTTGTTGTGAATTTATCCCTTTACCAATATTACAATATGGGCATGTCATTGTATGATAGACATGCACACAGCTGACAGACCACGAATACATCATCCTACCCCTACCATCAGAGATATATAGACCTTACATATCATACATCCTACCCCTACCATCAGATATAGACCTTAAATATCATACATCCTACCCCTACCATCAGAGATATATAGACCTTAAATTTCATACATCCTACCCCTACCATCAGAGATATATACACCTTACATATCATACATCCTACCCCCTACCATCAGAGATATATAGACCTTACATATCATACATCCTACCCCTACCATCAGAGATATATAGACCTTAAATTTCATACATCCTACCCCTCCCATCAGAGATATATACACCTTACATATCATACATCCTACCCCTACCATCAGAGATATATAGACCATAATTACATATCATGCATCCTACCCCCTACCATCAGAGATATATAGCCTTAAATATCATACATCCTACCCCTACCATCAGATATAGACTGTTACATATCATACATCCTACCCCTACCATCAGATATAGACTGTACATATCATCCATCCTACCCCTACCATCAGATATAGACTGTACATATCATACATGCTGGTTCTGTGATAACCTTTTCTATACAATGACCATTATATCATAACCAGTTCATGTGACAATGTTCACAATTGTATAATCTTATAGTTTGGATGGTCAAAAAATTTTGAATGAGATTTTCTTCCTGAACAGTTTAACATCTCCTTGTAGGTGTGATTTATAATTTTTTCTTCAGATAGTCATTTACACATCGAACAGAATTCTGTACATGGATACAGTCCACACTCGATGGTATTGTAGACAGATCAAATAATGTAGGAATGGGAGGCAGGGTTGTTGGGATATAATTCATGATACGTTTGACTTCAGTATCAGTGAAATAACTGTGATCCTGACAAACATTTAGTCAAACTGACTGAAGGAAGTGTCAGTGATATGGAGGTTTTCTTATTTTATGAGTTGACATCAACAAATAAAATCCTTGACAGTTTATTTGACATTCCTCTGTATGAGCCTCTAATGTGGGACATTTAGGTGGTATAGCTCAATAGAATGTCTTTATCAGGATTTAATAGCAGTATAATCATGATAATTGTCTATAAAAATCTGTACCTGGTGCCTAATTAAATCGATAAAGTGGCGGTGTTTTATGACTTAATTACAAACATGTAGATTCATTTCTGTGATGTTATATTAGAAACCAGTGTCCTCAAATAAGTTATAGTCTTCAATCATTTCCTGTGATGTCAGCAAATTTTTGGATAAGATATAGTGAATAAGCTGTTTTCACTTGTTTAACCCCCTGATAACCATAATTTTGTCCTAGTAGTGCAACCTTTAGAAACATCTTAACTCACAGCAATCAGGGGTTAATCTTAACTCACAGCAATCAGGGGTTTTCATGAATAAACCACACCCTTTATTACCAAGTTCTGCCCTGAGTAAGCAGTAACCCTGCGTGACTGGGTAAACAGTCGATCAAAGCGCTGCGGTATTATTATTTAATTCATTATTAGAAACTATAGTTAATGATCGTAAACAGAAGTGTGTTTGATAGGTTATGATTGTTATATGGAAGAGGAGAACTCGCTGGTTAAAATGTTAAAGTTACAATATGGAGGAGGAGAAAGCTGGTTAAAGTTTTGATTATGACATTGAGAAGGGAAATTCTGGCTAAAATGGACACTAGACTTAAATTGTTCTAAAAGTTAAACTCCTATTGACCAGACAAGGACATAAAATAATGCATACCTGTTAAACACTGAGGTGGGCCTAATAGACAGTTTAGTCCTCAGTATAATCGATCATATATATATAGTCCTGACCTTGGTAAAATATGGAACTGAAGTTGGTCAATATGTCCCAAAGGGAAGTAAAATCTGTACTGTAGTATTGATATATAATCGGTCAGTGTTGTAAGGGCACTACGGTCATATGTCAGCTGTAGATTGTTATAGCCAGTCTGTTAAATAGATGGCTACACATGTATGAACCACTTAGTTAGAATCTGCTGAGTCAGCTGTTTTATATCTTTGTATGTTGATGTGCGAGATGACCAGCACGATTACCTGTGAACCATTGTGGTATATATTTCTTTACCTCCACCTCACCTTCGGCCAGTTTGTATATATTTCTCTGCATGCTTGAATGACTTAAAGATGTTCCAAGTACGTTTTATTTTGATCAGCTGATTGTCATCTGGTGAGAGAATTGGAGACAAGTTGTCTCATAGTTAGAGCTTGAAGGCTTAGGCCCTGACCCAGCTAGGCAAGGGCTATAACTTTTAACAGATAAGTGTCAGTATAAGGCCAGAAGTGTTCTTGAAATGTATTTTATGGGATCTTCTTGTTCTTTAATGGTTTCTATTATATGACAGCCTTTAAAGTCTTAACTGGAAACTTTAAATTGATCAGAAGATGAAGGGAATTACTTTTAGTTGTGTACCAGATATTCTTAGTGAAAACTTAAAGAGAAAATAATACAATATACCACGGACTTGGATAACAATCTAATCTAATTCCGTGAATATACATGTATATATTTATATGAATTTTTTTTGCCTGCAAACCTTTTATGTTTAGAAGTTCCAATTCAGATGAAAAATATTTGAAGGTAAAATAAACAGTATTCTTGAATGTCATACTGTTTTGGAAAATTTTACTCTGTTACAATCCATTTAGTTACATAAGTGCTTAATTGGCACGGATCCCCAACCCATGATCTGTATTGTGGTCTAGATCCACACTATGGTCTGTGTGAATAATGTACGGCACAGATCTGGAGATCCCCACCCCATTATCTACCCGGTATAATATGTCTGTAATATGGGGCACAGCTAGATCTCACCCCCTTGGAATGGGAATCCTTGCTTTAATTGTTTATAAAAAGAAACGTGAAGTTTATTTTCAATTTTGAATAAAAATGATTGCATCCTCATTACAAATCATAATTACATAAAAATTGGGAGGGAACCAATTGTTTCTTCATGAGGTGTGTGAAATAATAACAGATCCAAAATTGTACTGATGCCATTGACAACTTTACTTTAACCTAGATGTCAAATGAAAATGATAATGTGTGAACTTAATACTTCCTATATTGTTAAAGTACAAGAGGGAAAAGAGTGTGTGTTGGTGGTGTAGGGCGGGGGCTGTGATTGTACATGTGTTCCTGTTATAGTGGGTTATCATGAAAGAAAATATCAACACATATACTAAAACAGAAATAGACAGATAAACATAGAAAAACATACATGTTTGCAGCTGTCACTCTTGATTTTGTTTATATTGCAGGAGAGGACATATAAAATTCCACGCGTGCTGAAAGGGGGAATAAGTACATTTGTTCCAGAGAGAGAGGCAAGTAGAAACCGTGTTGTTTAATTGCATGAAATCTGACTCCAATCAGGCCAAGATAATTACAGGGAGCTTCTTCTGTGTTATACACTTTTTCGTGTAATATGGTATTCTGTAGATGAAAAATGACCACCATTGACATACTTTTACCCATTCACCCCTAGAGTTGCTTTTGAACCTTACCATATCAAAGACTGGGCAAGTCCAGTTTAAAAATGTAGGGATGAATATATATGAGTTAATATCTTGGTATTTTGTGGTCAGAGATGACCTGATTGACTCCCTGTAATGTCTGGGTCTTTTTGTAGTCAGAGACATACTGTTCATAATATGTTCATAATTAGTGAAGAAGTGTTTTACTATGAGACTCTACAAATGAAATATGTATTGCTGAAAAGCTGAAAATGAAAAGCAATCAGAAGGTTGTTACATATAAACAGTGAGATTATAAGACTCTTTCCCTCAGGTTTTACCAAATTTGAAAACCCCTCGGGTGGAATTTCCCTATCCTACACCCTTGGGCATGATGAAAACGAATTCGTCAGCGAGATTTACATGTAACATATTATTAGTAAACAGAGTTTGTGCAGGAAAATAATCTCATCTTTCTAACTTGTCAGTAAATGTATCTTAAAAGGTTTTAATTTCATTATGTTGCCTTTTCCGCATTGCAGCATCGGTGTTTTCCAAATTTGTGACGTCACTTCATTGTTGAGCCATTGTGACGTCACAGACTCAGCAAGCATAGTTATCTTACATGGCCAGCGTTATCTTACATGACCGGATATGAGAGAAATCACAATCTGGCCAATCACCTATACTTTTATGTTTTATATCCCTCAACCGGGAGACCTGACCAATGAGATATTAAGGTTATCTGTGAATTGATCAGATTCACAAATGACAACCTTTCATACTTTTAGGAGAGAACTCTCAAGTGGTAAAATCTTAATTTATACCTAAAATATTTTTTTGGCCAATTCCTGATTTCAAATTCTTAAACAATTCACCATCCAATGAAATGTTGACCAACTTTCAGAAATTGGCCGAGATCGAGTGTGTGGGCTTTATATATTAGTTGGTCCATGTTTTGATAAAAGTGACAGGTTTGGTCACTCTGAGGTGATCATACCTCACTGCTATGTTAATTACACATGTCGTAAGCACCAGATAAATTATATAGATTCCCTACGAAAACCATCTGCCATTTCACATTTCATTGATGACTAAAACTGACCAATCAGTGGACATCAGTCTGACCAGATGACCAGACCTGACATGATGATGTATGATCAGATCTCAGAAACTGGACATGAGTGACAGTGACATGTCTAATTTACATACATTCAGCAGGTGTGAGGTAAAAGGGCAGACTAGGTAATATGACACCTGGTGCAATGTGTTTACATAATTCAATTAACAAGTACATCATGTATATGTTGATATTATGCACAGTTGTCAGATGTAAGGACATCATGTTTGAATATAGATTTGCAGTCCACTACCTTAAGAGAAAATTTATTTCCATTAAAACATTCTTTAAAACATTCTGTCATATTACCCTGTGAGAGCCCATATTCATGAAACCGTTCTCATGCTCAAGCATGGATTCTGTGCTCAAACCAACTTTCTTGTAACTCGTTAAAATCGGCTTTAATAAGTTTCTTCAATAATTTTCAAAACCATTGACAAAATAATATTTTTTATATAAATTTAAAAAGGGAGCAAAAAAGGCTTGAGCACAAAATCCACGCTTAGCACGAGTATAATTTCGTGAATACAGGCCCTGGTCTCTGTACCTACCTTAATGACAAGTACATTTATATGAAATTACATTAAATTTTGTGTTGCATGCAGGAATCAAAATTTGTGATTTATAATTCTTTGAACTTTTTTGGCAATTTTCTCCACTTCAAAGTTTCTTTATGGTATGAGATAAAATTACAATGCATCATTTTTCTTCAGGAAAGTTGTAACTTTATTAGGGCTTAGTTATCTAGAAAGTTGTTACTTCAGAAGGACTTGGGTTATAATAATAATGATAATAATAAACTTCATTTACTGAGGATTAAAAACCTGATTTAGCCAAAGGCTAATCTCCCTCAGGGTCCTCAACCTTAACATAGTGTCCACTTATTTATTGATCTCGATTATGTCATCACATGTTCCTTATTGAAGAAAAGTTTTATCAAAGCAGGTCTACACCTGTGACCTAAAGCTACCTGAGACATGACAAATCCACCAACAAACCAAATTTAAATGAGACACCTTATGGCCCAGGTTTTTTTTTGACAGACATTAGCAACATGGGACCAGGGTGAAGGTCAGTCAGTAGGACTGTTTGGGAAGGAATTACCATATATATTCTCATAAACAAAAGCAAAAGTTAACAATTCACTTAACCCCCTCAAGAATTTAATATAAATTGTTAAATAAATAATGTCAAAGTTGAATAAATTTGGCTACTCAAATTTTGGTAATTTACTTAGGTTTGCATGTCAAGGTAAATATAAAGGAAACAAATCTGGATTAAAAAAAATGCTATAGGTAAAAAATACTATAGGTAAAAAATACAGTATCTCCGATTCTTTTTGTATAAAATTTCTATTTATTGTATTACCTTAGTTATTCACAGGGTGCTAAACATACATTCTATCTGTACAACACTTCACGTGTGTCATCAGAAGATGTTCTTTCCTCTGAAAGAGGTTTTCATTGGGTTAGATATGGTACAAAATGTAATGCTGTCTACAGGGTAGAGATATATAGATTTGTGTCTGCTATACATCAACCAGGTCAGAATCCTCACCTGGCTATATTTTAATGTACCATTTTGGTGACATAATGAAAAAGTGTGCAACACTGTAAATATTACAGATAAGGGAGTAAAATGAAGCAGGGTCAGGACAGTTATTTAGAAATAATGCTTCCATTCTTCTCTACCTGTGGCCCTGGGGAGGTTCGGCGATGAAGATTCATTGCTCCCTCACTTCTTAGCAACAGATCTTTGTATCATACAGTAAAAAAATGCACCTTCGCACAAACTTTTGTCACTATGTTATCTCATATTAATGTGGAATCGCTGATATTTTCATATACATGTCATATAGCAAAATAATCATGATTACCTGCGGTTAAGAATGATCCCCTATAAATTATATATATCACAATACCAATATTCTAAGACATTTTTTCATAACTAAACAGGTTGTTTATGCAGCATAACCAGACCTATATTTGTCTACAGCTGTTGTTGCTCTGTGTGAAACCCCATCAAGGGGTGAAATGCATACCCACGGGTTATGGGTATTTGGCATATTGATCATTTTCTTTGCAGCAGTAGAGAAAAACTTCATATTTTTTGTGTTCAGTTAAAATTCTATTATATATTTTAGTGTAGTTTTATGCTTTTATGTTTACATTATATTTCACTGATACAGTAGCAAGTTTGACAGTCCATAAATGGTACATTTTCATGTTAGATTTATCATGTGTTTACTGTCCTAAGTATAATAACATGGATTTAATGTGACACAATAGCTGTGAACCAGAGAAAAACTGTTGTATAGTAAGTGGTTGGTCGTACAAACAAGTAGTAAAAAGGTCGAGTTTGTTAGAACAGAATTAAAGTACAAGGACCATCTATTTAAATTTCTAAACAAAAGAGGAAAAATCAGTGAACCAAGAAATTCCAAATTCCAGGGATCAAATCAAGGACCAATCTTGTGCGAATCCTAACACATAATCATTGGTGTATTCCAAGTGTAGTACACACAGAGTATCAAAATGAAAGATGAATATTTTGTCAAGACTCCATGTGCCACTGGTTGCTGCAACCTTACTTCACACAGACAGGCATATCAAAATTCAGAGATTTCATCCAGATACATATGGACAGACATGTAGAAAAAAGCCTTAATGACATCAGATGTATTATTACGCTATAGTACTACTTATACTAAACATTTTGATGATGTGTTGTACTAAGTGTTGCATTATATAAAGGTATTTACTAGAACAAGTACAAAATTAAAAGCACTAGGATTCGTCTGCGTCATTATAGAGCACGGTTTAAAAGATGGTGTTTATTTTGTATCTAAAATTAAGGTTATTTTTTTCTCCAAATAGAGGAAATTGAGATTATCAATCAGTAGCTGATTCTTAATAATGAACCAGGTGAAAAAATGTTGGAGGGGAATACTTAGCCGGACGAATGCTAGATTATGTTTGATCCTATTATGATGGCCGTGTTATTTTACTAATCTGTACTGAAATTTCATATCTTGATTGTAATAATATAATTAGCAATGGTAGCCGTAATGTACTGACGGTCTACCACATTAGTACTAATGTTATTAGGTATAATCTCCACACAGGTCAGTAGAGCACAGGTACCAGGTGACTCATTGAACTCGTTTGGTTACAATAATGTCAAAACCTGTACTTCTATAGAACTGTTACACCTTGTTTCAAATGTTCTATACGTACAATTACCCAACTGTGTGTCCAGATTATTTTGGGTATGGAATCCACAATGGGTAATAATCCTGGTGCCCAGCACTATTGACACACTGACACAATATTCCAGTGTGTGTATAATTAACTTGTTTTTGGTTATGTTCTGAAGAGAACCCCTTACCGGGTGCCACATGTTGGCCACACATTCCTCTCATCCTTATAAAAACAGGTTAACGATACTGTATGAAGATTAGCAGTGTGTACAGTCCATATACACTAGCTTTACTTATAACTTCTCAACATGTTTAAGGATTTTAAATAGCCCCAGCTGTATTACTCAAAGGCTCCTTTCCAAATTATATTCTGATCGAACAAAAGTTATCCAAATACAGTGTAATTAACATTTTGATTTCAGTAAACACAATAATTTAAATCCAGTTCAATTTACCTTGTAGTTTTGTTGTATGGCTATTTATTTGACCCGATACAATGAATGTCAATTATGATACTATGAATGTCAAAGATCTTGTTAGTCTCTAAAATGT